TATATATACGCGCGCGCGCGCGCGCGCGCGTGTGTGTGTATATTATTAAGCAGAATAATACATTCCCTTATACTTTTATTTATTTCAAATGAACACTGATACAAAATATGTGTCATTTGTTTCTGCATTATAACAATGTAAACGTTGCGTTAACATTTACATTAATACGTTTATATTGATATAATTTTTGCCATTATAAAGTATTAAGAATCTTAATTAATTAAAGTATTACTCCATTTTCATATTATAAAGACTGTTAAGTATGTATATATTATATAAATTAGAATATAATGTATAGCTGTATGAAATGCAATTTTCATTGAAAATATTATTTCCGAAACATTGATGTATATTAGAATAAAAAAGGAAAACGATGTGTCTCATTGTAATATGACGTAAGATTCAATGTCAAGAATGTGTAAATGGGTGAAGGTAAACAAGTAAGCGACTTTTCTCTTTCGCTAAGAGATCAGACGCGACTCAGTGCTTCCACTGCTCTTGCTCAAGGTACTTTGAAGATCAAAATGAATTAACGTATTAATAAAGTCTATGAATAAATTGCGAATGTTTATTCGAATTTATTCGTACGTTATACTCTGTTGTTAAGAAAAATTCATATGGTTGAAAGTGAAGTTGAAGAATGTTATGTAAAATAACTTTTACTCTTCATATATATATATATATGTATATATATATATATACAATATTAATAAAACTAATAATAATAATAAAGTGCGAAAAAACATGTCGCATTTTTTGTATCCTGAAGTTTTGACGGAAGCCGCAGGCGTGAAAATCGTGATGTCTCTGCCCAAAGAAGATTTACTTCCGCCAGGAAAAATAATTCTTAAAATGCGGAAAGAGAATGTGGAATCATATATACATGGTAAATCTTATGGATTTCATTTGACCAAATCAAAATGGGACCCGTATCCGTGGGTCGGCTATGTCGAGAATAATAGTCCTGCCGACTTGGCAGGATTAAAGTGAGTTTTATCTGATTTTAAAAACTACTGAGTATATTATAGATATAAAAGTTTAAAATGTGTGTATATATATTTTTTTAAGATATATATTGATATAACACATAATTTTATATATTAAATCAAGTATATTTTTGCGTAAATTAATTTCATATAAATTGTTTTCTTATTATGCTCCATCAGAGCGGGTGATTGTTTATTGAGAATTGATGACACCGATTTATTGGGGCTAAAGATCAAGGACGTTGCTACTTTAATTCATAATGAGGAAAATGTGCGAGATTTAAATTTTTTTATTTGGAGGTACACGCATCAAAAAGAGGAACAGAATGATAGTGGGCTAGCTCTGAAGGGTCCACTTCCGAATGTAGCCAGAAATCTTGCAAATGCATTATCAGGAACGGTGCGCAGGCACATTCTATAATCAAAATAGTCATTCTTTTATTTTTTTCTTATTTTTATAGATCATTTATTAAATAAGCGATTATCATTTTAATAATCTTTTTTTTTATTCATTGAATTCTTATTATTAGTCTTCTATCATTAACTGGTCAATCTATTATTAAATCCAAGAAATTAATATTATAAAATTAAACTAAGCTACATACAATTTTTTCTCTTCATACCAGTATAACAATTAAATTTTTTTAAATACTAATTAAAAATAAAACTTCTTTTTATCGAATGAAGCATTAAAGATGTGTTTGTAAAGTTTTCCTTTTTAGGTTCGTGCCTTGGAATGCCCAATTTGCTTAGAAAGCGCTGCGCCTCCAGTCTCACAATGTGTTCATGGTCATATTCTGTGCGTCGTCTGCAGGCCGAAAACGACGCGTTGTCCAGTCTGCAGAGTCCGGCTTGGTCAAGGCCGATGTCTTCTTGCAGATAAATTGCATAAAGCACTTCGCGATGCCTTTAACATGGATAATGACGAGAAAATAGACAAAACATCTGTTATAACCAATCGCTGTAACTTACGTGATCAATTGTTTGGTAAAACTAGCAAGAAGCAAAAGACAATTATAAACCAATCAAAAAACAATTGTACTGCTTTGAAACCGAGACAATTCTTATTAGCCAGATTGTTGCTCGGAGGCAGAGAGAAAGCTGCCTCCGTGGATAATCTAATTCGAGTATCTGATATGTCGGAAGAAACCGTAGCGATTTCTAATGGAGATGTTAACAGTTTACGTGTGCGATTGAATGATCGCACTAAATCAGCTAGTACTGGCGAATTGTCGAAGGACAGCGAAGTTCGCATTAATGACTCTTCGCAAATTGTTGAATCATCTGCGGCGAAAACTGTTAGTCACCAATCG